ATGCTATAACTTATTGAAAAGTGTATGGATCAACATAATTTTTCTATGAGAAATACTATTTTTTAATAATCCCTTTTTCATTCGACATACTTTATCTTAATCAGGGTATTAATAAGAAACTAACAGATTATGTAGCTTTTGGAATAATTCACCAATTTTTTAAAATTAAACACTATCTAAAGATTTGCATCGAAGCTAAAAGTTGTGATTTTAAATCCCCCCCTGTGGGCAGGTAAAAGGTCAGATATAAAATATACCAAATGAAAGGTAATGATATCATGCATCTATATAAAAAAAAATTATATTGATTTGGTTATTTTTCAAAAAGTTATAGCAATTTTTGAGGGTAATGTCTTCGACTAGATACGATTTGTGATCTTTTGACATATTGTTCATCAAAATCGGTCCAGCGAGAGCTTAGATTGAGCGTTCAGACACAAAAAAAAAAAAATAAATAAATAAAAAAAAAACACATTATAGTGAAATTAATACCTTCTCAGCTTCGCATCGAAGCTAATAAATAAAGGTATTGATAATTTGGTGAATTATTCCAAAAGCTACATGATCTGCTATTTCTTTATTAATATCCTGATTAAGATAATGTATGTTGAATGAAAAAAACTTTTCAATAAGTTATGGCATTATAAAGTTAAAAATGTAAAAAATAAAATCGAGAATTTTCATACAATAATAGTATTCGGTAGCCATTTTCACCGTGAAGACAAAATAAAGTCCGACATTTTTTTTTCCATAATAAAGTACATTACATTAGCTTTAATTTAAGATATATATAAAAGTGTCAGACCTTCCGGAAAATTTTCAAAAGTCAAGTTGAAAAAATTAATTTTTTGTGAAAAAGTTGTCATTTTAAATCCCCCCCTGTGGGCAGGTAAAAGGTCAGATATAAAATATACCAAATGAAAGGTAATAATATCATGCATCTATATAAAAAAAAATTATATTGATTTGGTTATTTTTCAAAAAGTTATAGCAATTTTAAGTAAAAAAAATTGAAAAAATTTCGAAAATTAGCGATTTTTAAATTTGTAATTTTTTTGGAGGTTTCCCCTATTTACGGGGAACGAGGGAATTTTTTTCAATTTTTTAAAATTAAACACTATCTAAAGATTTGCATCGAAGCTAAAAGTTGTCATTTTAAATCCCCCCCTGTGGGCAGGTAAAAGGTCAGATATAAAATATACCAAATGAAAGGTAATGATATCATGCATCTATATAAAAAAAAATTATATTGATTTGGTTATTTTTCAAAAAGTTATAGCAATTTTTGAGGGTAATGTCTTCGACTAGATATGATTTGTGATCTTTTGACGTATCGTGGAAAGAAATCGGTTCGGTGAGAGCTGAGAAAAAGTGGTAACAGACACAAAAAAAAAAAACACATCTTAGTAAAACCAATACCTTCTCAGCTTCGCATCGTAGCTAAACTGTAACTATCGACAATAAGTGTTCTCGCTGTTATCGGTGATGGGTAATAGAACCCTCTCACGACGAAAATAATTATATTTAAATACTATATTTTGTAGGGTAATATTTTGGAGGGGATATTAAAATGTTTTTATGTATTTCCTCGATCCACAATATGACATTCTGAAGTAGTGATAAATAGGTTTAGAATAGGATACACTAGGCTTGTTCATGGGCACCTCATACAAGTCGAGCCTGAATAATGTATCACTTATGGGGAAGACCTTACTGCGAAACATACCATGGTTCGTTGTAGAAAATATACAAACATCAGAAACAACATCAGTTTCCTGAAAATCTGTACGAATTACTAGGACCGGACCATGAAGTGCATCGAATAATTAATATTTATTAATTAGTGATAAGGGTTATATTTTTCCATCAGATAAATATTGCTACGATATTCATCTACTCCGAAATTTGATAATTTTTTAATCGATTTCGCGAATAATCGATATTTGGAGCAATCAATTTATAGTCCTATTCGGAGTATTCATTGTCGGAGTAAATGTATTCGGAGTTTTTTTACAATGTCTGAGTATATGAATGTCGGAGCATTACCAATTCGTGACAATCGCCATAACCCGAGTTCCACTATTTTTCTTTTATCAACTTGTGATATTATTTTTTATTGTGTTTAAACAGCCTTTTTAAACACATGTTTAAAACTACATAAAAATTTAATTTTATAGAGGACATTTTTCTTTATTTTAGCGATATTTTATGTGTACATTTTAAAGTGTAATATATATATTTAAACTACAAATTAAGTATATAAAAATTAAATTTGTTCTCTTTGTGCGTATAAATAAAAACTAAATATAGTAAGGTTTAAAAAATAATAGTTCATACCAGTCAAATCAATGAATTGATTTTCAATTCTTTCTTAAGTTATACATTAATTTTTAGTTATATATATATACTAGTCCGTGTAGACTTTCATGTAGTTATTTTGAATTTAAACATATATAGACATCAAGTACTTGTTGATGTTTCTTATAAAATTTTTGTTATTGTATTTTTATTTAGACATTGTGTCATTTTAGTTAATAAATATAATTTCTATTTGATATTAATTCTTTTCATATATTTTTAAAAATAATCATAATTGTTTTCCTTATTGGGGTTATTGTTGATATTACAACCAAATAATTAATTTTTCATCAACTAATGAACATAGTTAAAAAAAATACTGTAAAAGAACCTTTAGATTTATTCCAGATATAATCCTATACATAATCACCCATAAATTATGTTCCAAGTTAAATATCACATAATCCATAATTAATGGGTCATTTAGTTTATAATTTAATTTCCTGATTGAGTCATCAACTAATGTCAACTTTTGAAATAATAGATTTTTTCACTGCAATTATTTTGCAGTTTTAATTTTATAAATTTGATAATAAGCTATTTCACTTAATTACAATTGGTTACAACAATAAACTATAATCCAAAATAATATGGTTTAGACATGGTCTAAATGGTTTTAGAAGTATATTTTTTACCTAATTGTTTAGATGTATGTATAGTTTATATCCCAAAGCTTAATTAAATGGGGAAGTGTCAACAAATTTATTTTTAATATTAAAATAACCCTTTATTTGGAGTTATTTCTATATAAGAACATCATTTGTTAAAAATTTGCCAAAAAAATGATAAAATATTAATATTAATACATGCTATCATCATAGTATAAATCCTTCTTCTTATGGTTACTCAGTTTAGATTTGTGACAAATTTATTAACTAATTATATCATATTAAATATTTTTGTAGAATGAATAATACAGAAGAATTTTTATCTAAGAGTCAACGAAGTAAATGCTGGTTATCGCGTGATAGTTATTGGGAGTGTCTTAAAATCAACAATGAAAAAGTAGAAAATTGTAAGGATTTGAGAAAAGTTTATGAATCATCTTGTCCTATTCAATGGGTACTAATTATATTAAATACTCTATTTTGACTAGATCAGATAAAACTTAAAAGTAAAATATAAAAGTTTAAAATAAAAGTAAAAGTGTATAGAAAATAATTAAATATTTATGGTGGTCAAATTGGCATAAATATATTTTACTCATCCCATTGAGTAAACAAATTTTTTTTTAGTTTTTTATCCTAATTAAGAATATATAAAAAGATTTTCTTACTTATGAACAGCTTACTTATAAGGCGATGAGCTTTTAAAGTAGACAACTATTATGTGATCCATGTTTTTCGTTAAGTGCAAAGTGATAGTATAATGATTGCATGTGCATTGGTTACTCTTGTAAATAAGTAGTGGTTTTAATTATTAATATATTTAAATAGTACAATTGTTTTTTTTTTGTTTTTATTAATTATATTTACATAAATGTTTTAACAAAATATTAATAAATATTTGACAATTACATCCAATGACAAATCTTTGTCATGTGATGTTTGATTATTTATTTATTTTATCAAAATGTTTTCTAAATTAACATAGTCTTTTATCAAATCAACAGAACAATTTGTGGGGTCTGGTACAAGTATATTTTTTTATTTTTTTAGTTGGCCATTTGATTACCACCCCTCTTTGAAGGATTTTTTTGCATTATTTGGAAAAATAATTTTAGACTATATGTCTTATGGGACTATAAAGTCTTTGATAATGAAAATGATATATTTTTTCAAAGTTGGATCAAATACAACAGTCCACCCTTATCCTTTAATATGGGTTTTATAGAAAACCAGCTATCAAAAAACTTAAGCTTTTTTTGTGTGGTGTTTTGAATTTGAGATTGTCAAAATTTTTAGTTTAACTCGTTTGTATTAGGGTTAGACTTTTAACTTACTTACCATCCCCGAAGAGTCACAAAGTGTCAGACACTAGATCTAGCAGATTTAGTTATTCTCTAAAATTTTAGGTTTTTTGAGTTTCCTTATTTAACAAGTTCAAGAAACTTAAGTTTTTCAAGCATTATTTTCGACTAGTTATATCAAATAGTTTTGGTAAAAGCATTAAAAACACTTTTTAAAACAAACATTTTGAACAAATTGATGGGTTAATAAAATGCATTTGTTTCAACAAATCTAATAACTTGATTCAGTAAATATTCTATGTATATATAAAATATTTTAATAATGTTAAAAGTTTCGACTAGATTATAAGCATATTTTTTATAATTTCTCTCTGTGAAAAAAAATTTATATATTTTTTTTAAATTTCAAAATAGCCATTTTTTAGCTGCTTTATTGAAAATTTTTGATGGGTTGATAACAGCTTAAGAATAAATATTTATTAAGTTATAAGCATATTATTACTATACAGAGTGGTTATGAAGTGAATGCAGAGTGCATAAATACAAGTACGAATTGTACATCCATGTGTCTTTGTTAATTTATCAAGTCAACTTTGTTTAATATTGCATATTAAAAATAATTTTAATTTAGTCTTTGTACATTATAAGTATCTGATCTAGTTTAATAGTGTTCAATAATTGATTTTTTGAGATTTATTTCTGATTATATTAAAAATAAAACTTTTAGGTAAAACATTTTGATAGAAAGTACAATTACTTACAGTTTAAAGAAAAGATGGAAAAAAAAAGCTATGAGCCTTTTAAAGAAAATTGATAATTCTAAAAATTACTAGTCTTAATAACTTTTAAAGACTGTTTTAGTATAGTAAAAACTGGTAAGAATAATAATTAAACATAATACATAATTTTATTTATTATAGTATTCAATTTAGATAAAATATTTTTATTAGAATTAATAGAGTACAAGATAATATTTTGCTTTATTAATAGTCATTATTTTAAATAAATTTCATTACAAGTTCATGCATTCTTTTACAATTATATAAGAAATCTGTTTCAATAATTCAAGAAAATTGAGAAGTGAAAGCATAAAAAGAAAAAATTAGTATTCTTATTTTTTTTAACTGAATTGTATTTTAACTTTGATGCGTAGCTTAGAAGCTATTTGGTATTACTTTGCTAAATTTTTTTCTTCCTTTTTTTTGTTCAATATGCCATTACACCCATTCTTATTGGACCATTTGTTTAGGTAAATACATAATTAACTAGCTTGTGTATGGCAAGGGATTCTAAAGGATTACAAGAATGACAATATCGTCGATCTTAGTTATTCATTGAGGGCGAAAACCCACACCATTGATCATACATGCTTATAAACATCAATTAGGTCCCCTCACCCTTCCATAATAAGTGAGGGAGAAACTTGTCAACTGGTAGTATATCAAAAAATGAAGTTGACATTGGAAACCTTTATGGCATCAAAGAGTAACCAGATTTTTTTATAAAACTCAGTATAGGCTGCATACAATAGATCATAAAGTCTGAATATATAAGTAGTAACTATACCCACTCACTCTTCTAATAATAAACTAAATTATCATATTTATTTGATAATGATCTAATTAAGAAAATGATTGATTAATAACAACTATTGAGCGAGTATTTATGGAGTTAATGACAATTTAAATATTATTAAAATACTTTTTTTGAGGTTCTTAATATATATTAGCATGATTTTATAATTTTTTTGCAGTTCATATCAGAGGAATACAAATTACTTTTATAATGATGTCAGTTAATATTAATTTAAATAAAATAAGTTCTAAAATTGAAGAAAATATCCTTCAAAATAATGTACTGTACCTTAATGTAAGTACCTATGATTAGTTTTGTTGTATTAATTATTTTTATTAAATGCAACATTTTATTATTTGAAAATTTTTGATTGAACTTATATCTTTTTAACTCTAAGCATTTTATGTTTTAGAAAATTGATAAATTTAATTTTGTTTATTAAATTAATAAAAAAAAAAATTATAACTTATTGATTTTTCCTTTATTTTATGTTTAGGATGTTAACATTTTTCTTGAATCATTAATTAAAAAAAAAAAGCTTGAAGAATTTTTATCACATGGTTATGAAACAAAAGAATTATGTCAAAAATCATTAAAAAAAATTTACTGTAAAATTATAAGTAGTATATCAATAAGAAAAAATCTTTCATTTGATTATAATTTATTATTACCAAAAATTCTCTATCAAATACTATTTTTAATATACCAAATAGATATAAAAAACACTTTAAAAGGAACTCAAAATAATATTAATTTATTAAATATTATTACTAATGTTATTGAAATAGAATCACAGTATCCATATTTTATACATTTTAGTTGTTTTGATGAGAGCTTCAAACTTTCTTATGAGGCTTATAATCAATACTGTTTGCAAGTACATATAGGAGCAATAAAATGTTTAAATTTTGATGATAAATTGATGTATATCAGTGAAACTATTGAATGTATTTCTAATTTATGCTTTAGTCATTGTGGCATAAAATTAGATGCTTTAAAACATTTAACAGAATATGTAACTATAATGTCGAAAAGTCAATGGACAAATTTATCACATTATGTATACAAAGTTATTATGGGCCTTATGACACATAGTGTACCTGCAATTCATGAACAATGTGTGGTTTTATTTAGAAAGTGTATTGAATTAGAGGATTTAGATTATATATTGGATGTTGTAATGTCAGAAATTTCATGGTCATTGAGAATAAAATATTTTATGTTAATTGAGATTGCACCGATGTATGGAATTAAAAAAGTAATTATTTTCATATAAAATATGATAAGCCTTGCGTTATAAAATAATTATATAATTATTTAAGTGTAGATTTTGTGTAAATATGAAGAATTGTCAATTTCAATGTGGAGTAGCTTGAATGAGCCTTATTTGCTTTCACCGTGTCTTGGATTATATAAAGTTTTTGTTACAAACCTTAGTGAAGAAGATTTTTATACCTATATAATGAAACCAATTTTAAACCCACTTTTCTTAAAAAATATGTCTGCGTAAGTTCTATATTTCAAGATCCATACTTTATAAAAATAATTATTTTTAGTTTAATTTATGAGAGGGAGGTTGAAAGTATTTTTATCATTATTAATTTTAAAAGGAATTATATGATTAATTATTTTTTGTTGAATTTTTAATTTATATATATATAATATATATATATA